CTAGTCAAGTTTGATAAATTCCTCCTGACTTTTATATATTTCAGGAAGTCTATTCAAACAGTACTTACTCAAATAATCAACTTACTGCATACAATTTAGCTGGAAGTCAATCATCGGTAGATATAGTAGTATCTACTGTAACGTCACTACGTAAATGGAGTCGGATCCCTTTGGTAAGACACTTGTAACGAGGGTACACAGAAAATCGAGTTGAGTGCTTTCGCCTGATGAAATTTGTACGTGGAGATACAGAGATAATTTATAAGATACGTAAGTTAAGAAATAGTGACTGTCTTAGCAACTATATAATTGTATTTTTGAACTAGCTGAACCCATAACTTCGTCTGCGTTTTTCTAAAACAAAAGTAGTTTATGTTACTCCCAAGTACATTAGCTACCTGCCAATTAAAGTCGCGTCAAAGTTAGACCAGACATTTCAGAGATTAGCCAGTAAATACACCGTGATATTTTAATGGTTGTTTTCCCACAGTAAAATGATTCTATTTTAGTAGTACAATAGATTGAGAAAGTTGTTTTTAATTTAAATAAAAAAATTGCAGTTTTACGATAGTGATACACGAAACTTGAAAGAAACCGCGAACCAATAGTACCGCCGCGACCGGCCACCGGCCGCTGTCATTGTCGCTCGCGCTTATCAAAAGGCTGATAACTCAGTATTTACTAACAAGTGATTTCCATTTTCCCTTCATACTTTAACGGGCTTAGGACCGTCGTAAATACTTTTTAACTACACTTACTAAACACAAACATAAAACAAAATTTAATCAAGAGATATTATCTTGTTTATTACTGAATTTGGGAAAGTATTTATGGCGTATTTAAAAAATGGGAATCAACGTATTTACAATGATTTTAATCACCTATCTTATTGTTTTATTTACAAATGTACAAGTACTTACACTTCCCGGTAACGGAGCAATTGTTCAAAGTGTAAGCCACCGCGTTCCACACACAATCGTGCACGTTTTAACTGATTGGCTTTCAATTTTAATAATGTGTCTCTGTCACGTCTAATCACATCAAAAGCGTCCACTATCGCACTTTTTAACGCGTCGCGAGTTTCGTACTCTTGCCGATACACAAGGCGTTTGAGATTAGACCACAAATAAAAGTCTAGTGGAGTAAGATCCGGGCTTCGTGGTGGCCATGGCACTGGCCCGCCACGACCGATCCAACGCTGGGGAAACACCGAGTCGAGGTGCTCTCGCACGGCGCGCTGATAATGCGCAGGGCAACCATCGTGCTGGTAATACAGGCCATCCATGGGCACTGCTAACGGAATGTCATCTAGTAAGTCCGGGATAACACTACGTAGCATTTGTAGGTACGTTTCACCGGTTAAGTGTCCTGTCACAAAATGCGGACCAATTAAGCAGCCGTTTATTATACCGGCCCACACGTTTACACTAAACCGCACTTGATGCGCACATTCCCGAATAACGTGTGGGTTATTAAAAGCCCAAAAATCATAATTCGCCCTCGCGTACAATTGCACCATAGCTACGTACTCCACATTAGAAAAAACGTAATGGCGATCCATTTTGGCGGCAATAATATTGTACTGCGCTTGCGTGGTTGCGCGGACGGCGTTCGCGGTGCGACTGGTGTGAATGAAAGCGGTGCGAGGCGATGCGGGCCGATGCGAGTGACAGAGAGCGCGGTGGTTGCCTTTGTTGTTTGTCGTGAGGCGATCCGCTCGCGCGCGCGTGCATTGCAGTTTATGCTGTATTACTTAGTCCGAGAGATTATTTTACTATGAACATTGATTTGACGTCACATTTTAGAAGAGAAACTATCGTTTCTCATGCTTTCGAGTTGATGATTATTTTTTTGAGTATATGAGGAGAAAAAAAATTATTTTTTCAAAAAGTAACTTGCATTATTCGATAGTACTACTAAAGGGAAATCGTTCTGCTGCGGGAAAACAACCATCAATATGTCAGCGTGTATAGACATACAAAAATTGTAGAAAGTATTATTTTGGTATATGTATCGTACGTATATTCATAATATGTATGTAGAAAACAGCGGTTATTTCAATATTACAAGACACTCCAATTTTATTTATCTGTATAGAATACTTGGATACATAAAAGTTAAAATTTTAATGACAATTGTGGTTGACACGTGTAAATCTCGCAATGTTACAAGTTGATAGGAAAAGTTTATTTAATTCTTATTAGCGGATTAAAAAAAATACCTAATTTTAAAAAGCTTTAAATTTTAAAAATGTCAGCACTAGCACGGAGTCTGGAAATGTGCCCGGTATATAGCAATAGGCCCACCCCCTATTACATGGGACTCATAACATAATTTGTGAAAGTGGGTGTTACATTGTACAGTGGCATTAAATGCCGTAGTGTGCACCCCTGCCTACCGCTTCGGGGATAAAAGGCGTGATGTTATAATGATGATGATGATTTCACTAAGTTTGAAAGCAGCACATTCAAATTCAAATCATTACATCAGTATGTTTAATTTAAGTGTCACTTTTTACATTATATATTTTTAGTAGCACTTTTTTGAAAGCAGAAAAAGCGTTACCTCTCCTTCAATATATATTTTATCGGGCTTGTATTAGGTAAGTATTGGATTATCAAGTATTCATTCTGAATATTGTAAAGAGTTTTGCACGAAGATTTATTGAATTTCATTATAGACACCTTGACGACATAGTCTGCTTGATATAGGTATGTTAATGTAATACATTTATATTGGGTGTTAAGTATGAATCGATTTTATTGATATAAAAGCTTAGGGAAGAAGTAAGCAAGATACTCTCTGTCTCTAGTTGTTCCCTCATACATGAGGATCATGAGCAGCATCAGAACTGCATCTGGAGCGGATGATCTGCTTCCAGCGGATTCTGTCCAGCGCGTCTCTTACAGCCGTGCAAATGAGGACGAGTCTTTTACTTGATCGGTCCATCTCATTGGAGAACGTCCACGCGACCCTTGCCTTGCCTTCAGTGTTTCCAACTATAATTAGCTTCTCCAGGTTCTCACGACCCCTGCGGAGTGAAGCAAGTAACAGTTCGCATTATTATTTATAGGTAATAAAATGAAGATTAAGTCAGTACGGGGACAGTAGTTACTTTGACATTAAACTATAAATTATGGATTTTAATATAGCCATATCTTTTGTAACCATTGGTTGTTTAGGTAGCCATTATTGTCTCCATACCGAGTCAATCTTTATTATTGTATCTGTAAGTGTATACCATAAAACTGTGAAGATAGCAATTGATTAGATGGCAATTGCCACTTTGAATTCAATGCATTACTATGTACTATTAACAGACAAACTGAGAGAAACGTATGGTTTTCAGAAAAGAACATAAAACCTACTCTTAGAATCTACGCCTGGTCTTAAAAGGTTTTAGTTAGTTTTCAGGGTATCCGCATCCAATGTCGTGTACCTATGACCAGTTGCACGAACTAAAGAAGTGTGTAAGGATCGCACTAGCTAAGTGTTACTCTATAGTTACTGCTTGTCTTCATGAGACAAACGATGACATGTAATTACGTATGATTGTACAGTAACTAGTTATATAGGTTGAATAGATTACTTATGGCACGACGTGCTCCATCGTAGACCGCATCATCGCTTACCACCAGGCGAGATAGTGGTCAAACGTCGCCCCATCAAATATAAAAAACAAAAAAAAATACATTGTATATTTAGTTTTAACCAGTGCCAATGTAGGAACGATGAAATTTTTTATTTATTTATTTATATCAGAAAACAGCTAATTTAATCTTCACAGGTACTTAGCCTAATACGACAAAATTAGTTACATAATATAAAATTTCAAAATTCAAAATTACATTCTCTACATAAGAAATCTAAACATAATAATTTTAGAAACTGTATCGAAATTTCACAAGCCGTGCCATAAATTCCAGGTTTAAAAGTAGGTATAATCAAGTTCTAAGTATATTTAAGTTTTAAGGTAGTAAAGACATAATGCATCGCAAGCTGTCTTCCGTATACCAAACTATTGTTTGGAAAGTCGTTATCTTCTATCGGAGTCTTAAAACGATCTAAAACGGGACATAAAAGCAGTAGAGTGAATATATTCGACGTCAGCCAGTCTTGTTGAGAATGTCTGAGTAATCTAAATTCGATAAGGGGTTATTTTAGTACCTTTCTAAAGATGAGTAGAATATTTACAAAAGTACCTTGGACTAGTATAGATAACTTGTAAACCATTTATAATACAATGCATGTTGTGCTTACCTGAAATAGGCTGATGCATTATATTTTAAGTTATTGTAAATGTAACCCAATATTGTATCAGTGTAATCAATTGTTGGTGAGCCAATTATTAATAAAATAAAATAGCTTCAAAATGTCTAAAACAAGGGAAACTCTCTTTAACTACAAGTACAATTTAATATTACATAATGTACAATATTTTCATATATACCGAGTATTTTTCTTTAGAAAAGTTGAAAGCATTCATTTTTGCGCATAAAAATATTCTAACAATGAAAATCAGACTGAGCTGTAATGACGACGCTGTAAAAATGCATTTAGACATTTCACTCTTTTTTCCGTTTTTTGTTGGAAGAGGTAGAATACGTAAAGTACGGAGAAAATGCTAATTTACTACATTTTCGTATTTAACTCGAAGAATTGTTCGCAGGTAATGTTATAAAATATTTTTAAAATCCCATTTTTATTAAAGAAACTAGCTAAAAATCAAGGTACTTAGGTAAGCCTGCTGATGGGCAAAATTTCATATTTTGTGAACTTTTAACCAGCAACGTTGATTCTATTATATGATATATCATACTATAGTTCTAACTCCGCTGGTGTTGCGAGCATCCAAGGGCGGCTCTGATTGCTTACCATAAGATGATCTGTCTGCTCATTCTATTATGCAAACATGACAAAAAAGAATATCCTATGACAGAACTAAGACGTCTCTAAGTCTTGTACAATGCCTCTTACTAGGAAATCAAGTAAGACTACTTTTATAATGCTGTCTAATCTGGTTAATACAGAGCCTATCCTAATTGACTATACAAAGACTGAAAGGATGACTTTATATTGTCTTCTTTATTAATACCTCCATTACCAAATTGGTGTGAAATTAATATATCGGCCATAAATCAAGGAGACATCAATAAAAAGGCGGCCATTAGAAGCAGATGCCTTGACCCTGCGCCCATAAAGTGAATCTAAGGATATTTTACGACTTTAGGCACTCCGTAATTGATTCTGCCTTATGTTACCGTTGTTTCGAGTACCAAGTGTATGTGTGTATGTCACAGTCACCGTAAGTTTTTCGTAGAATAATCATGAATTATTTTTATGCAATACATCTTCTTTTTACATTTTTGTCCGCATGTTCTGTACACACTTCTCAAGCCTCTAAAATGTGTAATGTAATTTGGACATACAAAACTTTAAATGCGTTTATGAACTAAAATGTCATATACGATTAGCGACTGCACGGTTGGTGCGGGGGCTGGGCAACCGGCTGCCGTGCAACGTGTCGCGAGTTCGAGTGCCTCACGGAACAACACTTTATGTGATCCACAAATTGTTGTTTCTGGTCTGGGTGTCATTGTGTATGTGAACTTGTATGTTTGTAAAACGCACCCTCGGTACAGGAGTAAATCCTAATGTGGGGCAATGTTTTATTTTTTTAAATTATATATACCTACGTACACAGATCAGGTAAACGTAGATCTCATACATTGTTGTAACAGGAAAAGTCCCTAATGTGTTGTTAAAAACTCCATTTAAAAACAACTCAACAATATCTATGGCACCGTTCCTCTAACCATTAATCAATTATGCAGTTTACGCTACTCCATTCCTATTCCTTTTTTATTTTTTCCCTACATTCGTAACACACATGACGTATACCTGGTTGAAAGTCCAGCATCTCCCATAGGAAAAGCGATGGGAATCCAATTCAGTGCTATAAAACTTACGTTTCATTCTTTCCCTGAGGAGTCATGCGGTCGGTGTGGTTTTAACGATACTACGTGCAAAATTCTACTTCACAGTGGTGTTTCAAACACGCGTTAGAGCCACGTGCATGCTACATGAGTTCATGCTTTAAGTTTGAGATTTAAAGTCGCATTTCAAATACGTGTTATCTCATATAAATATTTGATATAAATAATAATTAATCATGATCAAACACGCTCTGTTCAGTACAGTTCTTAGAGTTGTCTAATGATCTATAGCTGACACTTTGTGAATCACATGAAGACTTGTTACGTACCAGAATCATGAGATATGGTGCCGCACCCAGTTGCCCAATCACTGCTTTAACTAGTGCTTTCAATGCAGTGTTGGGCCGTAAGCAACTTATTCCCTATACCAATGATTAGCTTAACATGTTTTATAAGACGCTCTATAAAAACTCATTTAGATAACACGCCTGCAGTAACGAACGTATTAATTGAAGATGATTGCAGGTGCGATAAAAACTAATTCACCAGCATTGCTTTGATTAAATAATTTCTGAAACGACTCAGATTTCATTAATAAACTGTACCTACTTAGTGAGGCAATCATAGTGCAATCCAGGGTCTCTTAGTTTAAACTCGCAGGCTTCACGATCCTTTGCCGGGAAATTATGTTCACCTTTTTCTTAGTCCCCGGTGGAAGCTGCAATTAAACATTTAATTAGAGTGTAAAACTGCGGATCGTCTGTGTAATGTTAAGGAAAACTGTATTCTAAGGAAGTTGATTTAAGAAACATAATTAGTTATTACTTTGCTTTATAGGTTTCAGGGAAAAATATGTTTGTTTCTTGATGGTATAGCAGTTTTGATAAATAAAATGAAGTACGTTTAAAAAACTTATTTGAAAACCTAAACAAAATTATATAAAATATAGGTATTTTAACAAATACAGTCGATTTATAGTTGTTCGGTAAAATGTAAGTGGTTCTCAATATTTAAACTTAACACTAGGCGAGATTATGGTCAAACGTCGCCTATCAAATATAAAAACAAAAATAACAGCAACCTTCAAGATATAACCACCACAGATGGGGCCCAATAGGGCTGATGCCGATACAGAGCCGCGGAGAACTTAACGGGTTACCGGGGCTCCGGTTCGAAGTGCAGCAGTAGGAACGGGGTGATTTTTAGTCGGTAAGAGTCTGACACTCCCTCCCGCCTCACCCAGGGGGGAGAAGTAATTCGATGATTTTCCCCCCTTAAAAAGCCTTCACGATTAAGGGCCGATTTTTCAATCATCGGTTAATACTTAACTGAGAAATAAAATTGATATTAGACAGTTTTAATATGGAATAGTTGTCAAATATTTAAATTTATAACGAAAAATCGACCTTAAAATAATGATTCAGTTCGACAAACGTCTCAAATAACGGTCTACTTTGACAAATAGGTAAGTCAAGCGTTTGAACTTGTCTAGGTCAAATAAAAACATGTTTACTATGTCATAATAACGGTTTGCTGTGAAATTCGATAAGTTGAATTTGCGTCAATATCAGATAACTGAAAGTCGTATTGACATGATTTTATCTTTGAAGACAGCCACCGAAAATTGATACGTAAAATATTATTTGCGACACCGTGTCGTCACTATATTTCTCGCACATATTTACACGGTTCTTGTAATAGATATCTGAAATATTTTCTTTGTTATGAAATTTACACGGGCTGACCGGACCCTTGTCACGTGGAAAACCAGGTTGACGTCATCTACGCGAGGCAAGCAACCTTAAAATCATGACTTGTTATATAAAAGGTACGGCGTGGTAGACATTTTCTCAGATTTTACTACTAAAGAAAATGAGACAGTAAGCATCACTGTCCCTTCGTAAGCCTTCCACAGTTATGAATTTATCCCGCAAGATGTAAACAACGATATTTAGACCGCCTTGCGACATGAATTATCTAAACTTGGCTATATTTTAGCTGTTGGTAGCGTTTGGGTTGAGAAAAATGTGGCTTGCGTAGGCAGGATTACAGTTTGGACGTAGTAACTGATTTATACGAGTACTTCTTTATTTTA